AGGTTGGATCCTTCATCTTTTGTACAACAGTTGATAAATCCGAGACGTCGAAAATCGGCGGGAACTTTTCGGACAACCTAATACATAGGAGAACAGGCCGAGACCTTGGACCATTGATAAAGATCCCATCTTGTGATTTCCCAACTAGCAAACAAAAACTGGTGATCAGACTGGGTGCGCTTCGTTGCGCGCGTTCGTCGAAACGTCGAACCGCAGCCGCCGTATGCGGCGTGACCCAGTTTCGACGAACGCGGGTCAGCCCGCGATCTTCGACAAACGTCGCAGTTGTCAGCGAGGGATACGAATTGCGCTTGGTCCACGACCGTCAGCCAAAGAGAAGATAAAACGAACAAATGCAAATCATTCGCTCCACCGACACTTGGTGGTACTGTAATGTCGTCTCGAGACCTCAGTAGTGTGCGCCGCGCGCGAAGTGGGCGGGGTGACCTGCTTTCGACGGACGCGCGCAACGGACGTTTTCTGATCAAAGTTGATTGCTTGCATGAGTTCAACGAATTGTGTCGTATGACGGGAACCACTCACCACTACTGTGCACGTTGCGTTGCGTAGCTGTCTGGAACGGCCTCAAAAGTAAAAAATCATTGGTATAGTTATCAATGTATAATGGTTACTAGAGATCGATACAGTCACTATCAGCGGAGTATACTGTGCTCTGCTGATTGTATAATAATTACGTAGACCTCTAGTGGCGACTACACTTCAGAAATGTACTTCTAATGCCTTCAGAGTACTTGAACCCTGAAGGCGTCTCAGGGAAATGGGGAGCACACAGAGTTTCCCCGTGGAATTTCTCAATGACGTAACAAATAGCTGCCGGGCTAGTATTCGAAAAAAGCGTTTCAGTTATAATACCATATTGAGGCTATTAGGGCAAGAGCGTGTTCCTGCAAAATTTCATATAGGCACAGTTCATGATAATTTTGTGTAACTATTTTTATTTTGAAGAGAGAAATGTTGGTATTGAGCAGTACACCGGCGAAAAAAGCGAGAAAACCCGCCTTTCTCGCGAAAAACTATGCTTTCGTGAAGTAGTGGAAATAGATATTGTACGAGATCGCCATGAAGAGAATGCCATGTGAGGGGCTTTTGGATGAGATCTTTTTTGCTACAACTACGCGAAGAGCTAACCACATCAAGAAATCGTCCGAACGGTCTTCACTGTTGCTATGTGACAAGGGAGTCCCTCGAGATAGTGCAGCCTCTACAACTGAAACTCTTTCACTATGGATGTGGCATTCACATCATACAATCCCTGACCTTTTATTGTGCCCTATACGAGACGTTTTTGACCTTATAACGGCAGGGATGGTATAAGGCGGGCCTCGAATTCGTACTATGGGGAAATCTCAGAAATCATTCTTATCGTGATGTATGTCATTGAATACTTTTACTACAGAGATCATCGTTTGTGGAATGTGCGACGAAGAAAATGCTACACTGCTCCCCTCTCTCAGCAGCATTTGCAACTCATTCAAAGCGTAGTGGCATACTACCCACACTTTTACGAGAGGTTTGCGAATTTGAATGAGAGTTGTACTAGTGGTCATCTTACGGAATACCTACAGGTTCTCGGGGCACGTATTATGGTGAAATCGGCAATGAAACACGTGACTAGCAAGGTGAGCTCAATTTCCCTTGGTAAGGTTTCATTGTGTTGGATTCAGTATTTTTTAGCGTCTGAAGCGGGTCCTTGATGCTCGTCAATTAGCTCTAAAGCTCGTAGCCAACGTCACTTATGGCTACACAAGTGCGAATTTCAGCGGGAGAATGCCATGTGTTGAGGTGAAGTTTTTCTCAAGAAAGATTATCACCTTTCTAGCGGCAAAATAGCCGGTAAAGCCGCAAGCGAAGCTGCGAGCAGCTTTATTTGTCTGCTGTGAGAGTGTTCGTAAAGTAAAGTTTTATATCTTGAGTATATTTCGAATAGGACAGACTTTTTGTGTAGTATTTCGTAAAGACACATGGAATTTCTCTGAAAGCTCGCCTCTCACTTGTATGCGCTTAACATGAGGTCTTAATGCCTTTGGCGCCAATCACTCTCATTCGTAGGATGCGCCTTGCAATCGCCTTCTAGTCAGAATCATGGTGGCGTTCTTGAATACGTACATATGTAGTCTATACATACGATGACTATCGGCCGTCTGCCGATGTACAAGTCAGCACTTTTGTCCTCTTAGACGAGTTAGACGTGGATGGCATCAATAAACCTCGTAACGATGCAAGGCTTGGATGTTCTAGGCAGAAGAAAAATTGGGAATGAATCCTCGGACCATGCCTGTCCTGATAGTACGCGCTACCTGTCTCTAACCATCTCCTTCCTCGCACGTTTCATATCTGGAGATATCATGAGATCTGTTGACCAGGTTGAAGCTCATTCCCGAGACTCTTCTTTTCGGCTTTGGAGCTCTGGAACGAGGCATGGGCAGAATCACTCAGATGGGATTCCCAGGCTAGGTAGTTGACGCAAGTTTTGACGGGCTTCAGCTATGGAATGGCTAAATCCCATCTTGACGTGACGAATGTGGATAGACATTTCGATCATTATCTGGCTGAGCAGGCGGGGAAGAGAGAGCCGGATATGTTATGCGCATACAAATGGGTTCTGTCCTTATAAAGCAATTACATGAGAACTTCGAAGACGCTCCCAAAAAATCTTTTTTTCTTTTTGTCTTCTCGGTTGAGACCTTCCGAGCGACCTAGCATATGTTCTGATAGGTAGTTAGATGTGGGGCAGTAATACTGTCTGACATACTGGAATACCCTTGTACTACTTTAGGTTGCCGATGCTATTCTAGGAAAGGGTCGAGAAACGCTGGAAAGGGCAATCGCTCAAGTGAAAGAAGGAAACTATGGTGGCGCACAGGTGATCTACGGCGATACCGACAGCATGTTTGTGCTTGTACCAGGTTTGCTTGTTGTTTCCAGCTTATGTTTCTCTATTGTCACTAGCCCCCTGAAGGTGGTCTCAGCTAAAGCAGTGGAAGCCATAGGCTGTTTCACTTGGAATGTTGTTTCCTTTTTGAGGAGCTACCAAAGCTGAAGCGTTCGCAATTGGTCGTCGTATTGCTGAGGACGTCACGAAAGTTAATCCTACTCCTGTTGTCCTGAAACTAGAGAAGGTATGGGACCAAGCGTTTCTGCATTCCAGCTCGGAGGCTTCTTTTTTGACTGGATCTTGCTCATTTTTAGGTTTATATGGGATGTGTATTAGAAACGAAGAAGCGATATGCTGGATGGATGTATGAGAGTGAAGACGACGAAAAAGGTCAGCTGGACTCCAAAGGACTGGAAACGATCCGGAGAGATACGTGTATGGTTGTAGCGAATGTGAGTTCAATTACAGTGCTTAGATGAGTTTCTTTCCGGAAGAAAATGACTTTTGGGACCTCCAGTGATTGACATGGTTATCGTTTATGAAATGCCTGCCATATTTTCTCCTCAAGGGTATTATATGTGATAATCATATTAGTGATAATCATATTATTGCTTCTACACAAAGAAAGAATACGAGAAGGTAATATTACCACGGTATAGAAGTCGAATGGGTGGGTGCACCCCTCTGACGGAGTTGATTAACGCCCCAAAATTTATCCTTTTACCCTTTAATTCACCACTGAACACTGTAACCTGAGGTTACCCTCCATACCACAGAGCCACAGAGGATATCAGGCCAGAAGAGGGCTTGACTTATTCTTACGGGCGTTACTTCAATTCTGATTTGAAAATTTGAAAATCTCCGATGCAAAATTCTCGAGCATATCCATATCAGATATTTATTGGCACCGAACTCGTCAGAGAGGGCCCATTGGTACATCGACGGGCTTTCGCAAGTCACTGGATGGGCCACATGAGCATTCAAAACGTCAGTACGATTCCGGTGGCTGGGTGGAAGTTGAATGGGGAAGGGGGAGCGAGGGTAGCCGGCTGAAACTGCCCCGCAGTCCGTTGGTCAACAGTAAATCACTTCTTGATGATCTAAACTAGCCAATACTTTGCATTGGTCAAATACCCTGTTTATAGAAGCATGAAGCCTTGCCCTTTGTGTACTTTCTGACTTTGCTGCCGAAAAAATACGCTTGCAAACTATCAACAGGCTATTCGACAGGCTTCCTTCATTAGCTCAAAGCTGACATGCATCGTAATCTCCTTTCAGGTGTTGGAGCGCAGCTTGAAGTTGATTTTTGCCCAAGACTGGCGAGCGTTGAGCACCTATCTCAACACGAAGCTTTCTAGACTTGAAGACTTACCGTATACTGACTTCGTGTTCTCGAAGGAATTTCGTGGTCATTACACAGATAATGCTCCCGTTCCACAGTTGAAAGTGGCTATGTAAGTCATGGTTTTTACGACAAAATAAAATATGTGAAGCAGCAAACGTTCAGGCGATTGGCTGCCCAGAATCCTGCCCATATTGCACTTGTGGGAGAACGTCTGCCGTACATTGTGACCCAAGGTGCTCCCGACGCGTCCGTAATCTCGTGTGTGCGATCAATCCCTGACTTTTTAGCAGATAAAAGTCTGCAGGTACTGTTTTCAGTTTCGGAGGCAACTTGTTTTCTTTTCGGATGCTACTTGTTTACCTGTTTGAAAACTTCGGTATATTTCGTACGGTGCTTTTTGAAGAACATTCTAAACTCTCTGACTAGGGATTATCTCTTTTGAAAGTTGTCCTGTTCCAGATCCATTTCACTTACTATGCTCATGTACATATCCTACCCGCTCTGAGACGTGTCACTGATCTCCTCCCGCTCACCATAAACTGGCGTGCAGATGCCTCTACGATGTGCTTTACGTGAGAATTGGCTACCGTAATAGATTTCTATGGAATCAGATCGTGATCACAGCCACATATTTCAGTCCAGGATGTTTGACAGTAGGTGGTAATCCGTGGTGTTCCTGTTGTGCAGAATTTGGTTCGACGTTCCGATTTGCTCTCGTTTCACTCGCCCGTGAAGAGCGATTGCAAGCCATTGCACGGCTTGCTTGCAGTCGTTGTCAACAGCGAATCCATTGCGACATGGAGCAGTGTCAGAATTATGCGTGCAGTGTTAAAAAAGTAGGTCGTTTCTTAGACAACCGATTCTTTTCTTTTTTCCGAAAAGTTTATTTAAAGAGAGACCTAAATCTCTATCAAAGGCACAGTTCACAATAATCAGAGGGACATCTCATGAGCCACTTCTATCATGAACTGTGCCTGTAAAAGTAAACAGCGTTTACTCAAGGCTACAGTTAAGCTTACAGTAATTTTCCTGTCGGTGAAGAAGAAGATGAAAATTTCCAAACCTCAAAACCAGCGAGTTTTCCACTTGAGGTCAAAAATGCTATGAAAATGATCTCGCGATAATTCACGTGGACGATGCTTTAATGATACCGCTGATATTTACTTCCACTACTTTTGACTTTTAGTAGTTACGAGAAGATGTGCCAGTGGAACGAGATATACCGTTGTCGTTTTGATTAACGAATGAAGGGAAACAATAAAAGCCTAGGGTCGAGTCAAGATTTAAGGCGACGAGAAGAGTTTTGACAGGACTATCTTTGAAGTGTGCAAACGGGTGTGATTGTGTAGAGTGGCCGTTATTGCATGCATAGGATTGAAGAAACGTCCAGTACCCAGCTGATGTTTCTTTCAACATTGACGCTTCCATCGCTGGACCCCAAATCGTGGTTGTGAAGTGCGGGTTCGAACACAGTATCAAAACTGTACACGGTACGATGACCGATTCCAGTTCGATTCCCACCCAAACCAACCAAGCCTTCCATTCTTCTGCAGATGATATCAGACTCGTCTGAGAGGATAGAAGCGCTGAGTGGCTACCGGAATTCATGGTAAATGGTTTGTGGCTCATGGCATACACATTCGAATTGGGAAATTCTAAGTGGGAGTCAAACGCTTGGGATCGATCAACGCGAAGTGCCTCACGTTTTTATCCCATTAAAGCTCCTCTAAACGAAGCTCTGCTTGTTTTCTCATTTTTCTTTCAGAACTGTTCCATACTTCTCATTTCGTCTCCGAAGGTCTTCTGAAGAGCTTCGCAACACATTCGGGTTCCTTATTTCAGGTCTGGAATAGCCTAGCGCGGAGCAAATCGAGGCGAGCTGTGACCAGTCATCGGCTTTATTCAGATAAAAATCCTTTCAATTTGATGGTATTCCAGTGATTTTCATGTGATCTGCCTCCGAGTGGTCGTAATTAATTTATTGAAAATACTTTAATAAAATGTATAATATAACAATTGTAATTAACAGCTCAGAGCACAGGGTCATCGGGTTATAACGATGTTGTCGTAGGGTTTGTTTCTTGGACTACTGCCTTTCGATACAACTGCGTATATGACGATTCCCCAGATGACAATCGCCAAAAAGGCTACTAACAACCACAGGGCCCACCACGCCCGTCGATAGGCGCTCAGCTGAAAATATAATCATTAATTCAGATTTTCATTTACCAGCTAGGGGTTAAACCAATTCCCAAGTAAACATCTGACTTGGACTCGTTCCTCGTTGGTCAGGTCGGCATCAGGATCAACTGGAACTTCTCCTTCATGGGCTACAACCCGACTAATCAGCTCAGCCTCGACGTTCCAGAATTTCGGATGTGGCCAGTGCAGTTCGCCTTGGATAATCCTGTAAGGCTACCTTTGTATGTGTTTTTTACCACTCCTTTTTTGATTCTAGTCTCTATCTTTCCATATTTCAATGACTCACTTCGGTGGGAGATTGATTGAAACGTGCTCGGTTGTTTTATTCCCACTGAACGATGGCCAAACAAACCTGAAGGACTTGTTTGAAGGTCTCTGACCAAAAAGGTGTGGGTCATCCTCACCGTTTTGTTGATGGGTCACCGCTTTTGGCAAAGTTCGTGATCATATTCGTTAAGACCTTTGCCATATTCTCATCTTCTTTGGTGAATGGTCGGATTTCAAAATTACTACTGTATCCTCGGGAGAAAATGAACGCGTGATCCAATCCATGGAATGCTTCCAATTTACGATCTATAACATTTAATTGGCATTATAAATACAAGTGTCAAACACCAAAATATTTTTTTTNTTTTTTTTGAAAGATAAAAGGATAAAGGATTGAGTTTTGGGCTGGCGATCAATCCCGTCTGATGGATGCGCCCATGCATTCGACTTCCATTCAGAATCGTAGTGGCCTATTGAGAATCCCTGACTCTGTGTAGGTGCCAGTGAGTCACTTGCCACTATACCATCTCCGCCTAAGACTTCATCCTTTATCCTTTTTGAAGATATTCGAGAAAAATCTAACAAGATTTCAAATTGCTGCTATTAGTAATGCAATGTGCATCGGAGTAACTTTTCAGTGAAAACTGGTCAAATCTCAATTCATATGATAAGCAGTGTTTATAAGGCCCCCTGATTTTTAAGATAACCATCAGAGTATAATAGCTGCATAAAAATTGAAGTCAATTTCAATTCTTGGTGAATAGATATCTGTTTTCCTTGAGTCCCAACCTATAACTCTACACCTTTGGGGTAGTATGCTTATACATCACAGCATCAATCACCTGAACCCACTGGCACTCTCGGTCATAAAAGAAACGTGGGTGCTGCCACTTGAAAAAAAAATTTCTCTCATTTAAACGGTATGCAAATTGTAAGAAGAGATTGAGAAGGATGCGTAATGGTTCACACGGTGAAGCGTGGGATTGCGGGGTAGATGTCACCCATACGAAATTTTCCATTCCCAGCAATGCTTAACTACGACCCTCTCTCCTTAATGCTTCACCGATGGCATACTCCAAACTAATCCCCATTTAAAGTACCAAACAAAATTTAGGCCTCCTTGTGCTGCGGAAGGTCTGGTTTACGGCTTCGTGCTTTTGGATTCGATTCTGAAGAATAGAACTTACCTTTTAATGTCTGATCCTTACGAGTGATTGTGACGGGATTATTTCCAAACAAGTTGAACACTTTTTTCTCCTGAAAAAGAGTTTTCTGAGGGAAATCATCAAACCCCCTAGGATCCACACAATTCACCTACCACTTCAAAAATTGGGCTCTTCGGTACATAGTCGAAAGAGTAAGCGTAAACCGTCAGATTATTCTGTACATATGCGTCGATTTCCCTTTGACAAGGCGCCACAAATTCGATGTCGGCTTCCATCTATAAGGGCAGCTTTGACCACACTGAATTCTCGGACCAGCATTACAAGACTCACCGTTTGAAGGGCTGCGACTACCCTGCTCGTTTCAAATGTGTTGGATGGATCATCGATGTATCTGAATGGCTCTTTTCAAGAATAGACTGTGGAAAGCAGCGTGTGTAAAAAGCACGACTTTTCCTTTAATCAGACTGGACACTTACCGGACAAAGGAGGCGTTTGCCACGAGGTGCAAGGTAGCGTTATTAAGCTTGATAGGAGAAGTATCGTGGAAAGAGCCTTCAACTATCCGAAACACACTTTCTCCAGCCTCCTCGGCTGTCAACGATGATTTCCGATGCAAGTTGTAGAACTGAGCTTGAAATTGGCGTCATCTGATTGTGGAGCAGCAACAGACATCATCCACTAGTGGTACTCACGTTTCTTGTGCGCCCATTCCTTTCGTGCCACACCGGTCATGATCGGTATCCGGGCATATTGTCGGACAAGGTCGATTCCTGACGTCGGCACCAGATCTCCATCCACCACCATTTTGGAAACTCCTAACTAAACCAGAAATAAGCTGAGAAAGGTCTGGATTCCGCCGAATCAAAATAGAATTGGCTTGCCTCAAATGCGAGTGCTTTGCGGAATAGCGGAGAGCTGAAGTTTAGGCTTTTCCGTAGACAGTTCATCTGCTCTTCTTGTGTTTGGTCATCCTGAAAGCAGCTTTTTACATTTGGCGCTTCGATGCATAAAACCCAGTGATCGCTCTTTAGATATCAATTAATGGTCCCCTCTTCTTGTCTATAAGTTCTCGGTAGAGTTGGGGTAAGAAGTTAGGTAAAATGTCCTTGATGGATTGTCAACCCTCTGGCTGCTTCTTTTCTATAGATCGATTGGTCACCGATTAAAAGCCCGATAATAGCTGTCATCGCTATTTTACAGCTGTGGTGCTCACCGTTAAACAAGGCACGAGCTCGTTCTGGTAATTGCACTTCTTCTGTGCCAGTTCCTCCACATTATATTCATCGCCGACCACTTGTGGGGCGTACTCAGCACCACTGATCATCTTCTCACATCTGCAAATATCTAACTCGAAAACCGAACTGCTTCATTGTGGCATGGACATGGACTGAAATTCCTATACATTGTATAGCTGCTAATAATTCAGAACTGCATACAAGTTTGTTATTACCGTTCACTGTCCAAGATTCACCTTCCTAATGACCTAAAACGGCTTTTCCTTTAGACTTTGGAGATGGCCTGGAAGGATGAAGGTTTCCAGGCTAGAAGGAGGTAAATATAGGGTGACCCACATGAAGTGTGACGGGCAATAAAAAAAATCAACTTATGGGCTTCTGAGCTGGAGGAAGTGGTGATCGCTTGGGCGGAAAGGAACGCGATGAACGTCATCTGAACCTTCCACAGGATTCGGCACCAGCCCACAGCGCAAAGAAGATGCTGCAATGTTGTGGATCCACGCTTCCGAGTTTTTGGGGCGAGGCAGTTTTGACCTTCAAATTCCCCGATCTCAATCCTTTGGATCTTTGTGTATGGTCGATTCTGGAGCAAAAAGCATGCGCTTTCAAACACATGTCTTAGGAACCTCTGAAAGAAAGTTTTCTTGTAGAAGCGGGGGATGAAAGTGATTGCGCGCATTCTTGAAAACATCCGAATGAGGTTGGATGTTTGCATTGAAGCGAAAGA